CCCGCCCCCCCCCCTCCCCCCGCCACCATCTGAACTCTGCGTTTTACTATATGATTGCCTGAAACAGGCTACTCCCACGGAAAGTCCTCTCGTTATTCCGTTTCTTGTAACCTTTTTAAATGTTTTGACTTTAGATTTAGGTATTAAATCAGGTTTCTTCAGGTGTATTAAGCGCGTTCAATACTTTTGTTGTAGACTGTCAGATCTTCTACTAGTGTATAGTATGTGGTGGTCTAGAGAGGCCCTTAAGTCGTTTTTTTTTTTTAAAAAAGTCTTGGTGAGGTGCCCATCCTTTCACAGAAAAACACTACAGCTCTATTCGCATGCGAAGTTGAGTTCATTTTCTATGGTTGTGCACCGAGTCTCGATCGTTTTGATAAAAAGGTTCGGCAAGTCGAAAACGTGTACTTAGCTACTTCCTGTCAAGACTTTATTAGAAATCACCGGCTTTTTCTTTATGAAAATCCAGATCAACGTGGGGAAGCTAAAATCGCCGATGCCCCGGTATGGATGCGCTGGTTATGTTTTGTGAAAACTGCTGTGAAAACCAATTATTTTTGTCCAAAAATTCAGTTAAACTCCTAAAGGAGGGATCCGGTATTCTGGGACTTGGAATGTGGAATTCAGCTCAAGGAAATCTGAATACCGCTTACGAATGGAATCCGGAATCCAATTTCCACTAACAACGAAACCGGAATATAGTTTCTGGAATCGGAAATCCACAGCCTGAAATCCAGAATCTAAGACTGTCTTGGATTCCCCGTTTTAGGGTGAAGAGCTATAGTAATCCTTCGAGATAAATACGTTTCAACTGAACCCATGGGTATAATGTGCTCTTAAATGTGTACTTAGTTTTCTAGAACAATCCTCTTTTTAGCATAAAGCACGCAATGGCCATAAAATTTCAGATAGGTTTAGAGAATCGGCAAAAGACGAATTTTATATTTTTAACTGAACTAAGCTGGTCTGCTATAAAGCCATTACATGTAAGTTTAGTATGGGAGTGGCTCCTGTTGGTCATAAGGTCCTGAGCGGGAGTTTGCAAAAGAAGTTCCTGTGGTCTCAAAGTTCCTTCCGACATTTCGTATTAAGACATTCCGGTTGCAAGGATCACGGTCGTTGAACCCAGATGGTCACTGTAGCAGCAACCGTCGTGAAGACAAAAATAATCAGCAGGATTCTATCCGTTGCCTCCGCGATCTCTTTCCATGAGTTCTTCCAATCGTTTTGTTCTTTCTTTTCCTCTACGTCTTGGGCCTGAAGTTCCAGCGCGGAATCCCTCAATGAGTTGTCACAGGGTTTCTTGATTTCCAGAGCATGTTTTCCTTCTACCTGTGGCATCACTGGCTTATCGGTAACCTCCAAGTACATAGTCTTACCAGTCGGTTTCTTCCCTTTGCGTCTAAGGACGTTCTTGGCGAACTTCACGAGACATTTAGGGGGTTTACTTTCAGCAAAGTGGCATCTTAACACTACAACAGTGCCGACGAGGCTGAAGGCGACTAGGACTATGGTCACCATATAATACACACCTAACATCGCAACATCGTCGGAAGTTTCAGGCAGAGAGTTGGCCAAGATAAGCAGGTAAACGCTCATAGAAAGTAAAATGGTGATGCAAAAGCTAATTCTTTCTCCACTGTCAGGCGGAATAATGAAGTTAAGAACGACCAGCATAACCATAACAACACATGGCAGTATTTGATAAAGTACATGATAAAGTGACTTCCGTTCAAAGTGGAGAGTGTAAGTTACAACGGAGTAGGGGTGTTTGCAGCATTCGTACGTCTTGTCAACGGTTTTGATCGATGAGTGTACCAACTTCCAATCTCCGCTTTCAACGAACTTGTCTGAAAAGAAAAAAGTGACATAAATAGCCTGTGAACGACTCTCTGTTTGGGGGGAGGGGGCTAAAGATCGCGAGACAGCGAGGGGAAAAATGGAAGAGTAAAATTGGGGAAGTTTGACAGCTGCCCTAGCCCCTCGCCCAGCTAACCTCGTTCACCGATTTCCTACCCTTATTTCCCACCAAACATGCACCTAGGAACTTGATCCAGGCCACTAATAGACAACCTCTTTCCTTGTTAGCAAGTTGTTAACGGCATGTTTTTTTTATTTGTGGAAGAGGGTTATACGGGATGGGAATGCTCACATTAGATTACCTAAAATGGACCTTAAATGACGGTTTTACAATTAAACTCTCTGTTTATCTGATAAACGTTCTACAGTTAGTAAGTAGTATCTAGTACATTGACATATCTGGCACCGGTTGTTCAAACCTTTGATAGCGCTATCACTGGATAAATCGCTATCCAGCGGATAAGTATTAGGAAATCAATTGCGTTATCCAGTGGATAGCGTTATCTACCTTTCGAACAACTGGGCACAGTAAGCTAGTATACTAACATCTATCTGTACATCAAAATCAACACAAGTTTCTTTTCAGTCCAACCTGATGTCGAATGACTGTCGTCCTTGTTCATCATTTTTAACAACCTGCTGTCAAATGTCAACGAACCAAAAGTCAGATGACAGGTTTGTCTATCAAAGGGGTAGAATCTGATCACCATGTCACAGGAGCTTTTGAAAGAAGCCGGAGACATCCACATATTCACACCACTGCTGTCCACGATCACGTAGGTTTTGAACTTCTCTTTGAAGCCTGCAAGAGTCACGTCCTCGTCTGCGCTGAGGAAAGTAAGAAAAGGAGAAGATGTTGGGAGAATCAGAGAAACGATGATGAAGTAGACTGTGAACAGTCTCTTCTTTTTCTTTGGATCAAGAGCAACACGAGTCGCTGGCTGCGAAGCCGCAAGGAACGAGTTGGGTGGAAAATCGACCGAAGCCCAACCTCTCCTCTCCCCTCATTTTCACCATTAATTTGCATAATTTTACTTTCTCGTTCTCCGTGCGTGGCTGAGGAAAGAAGGGCGACCGCTGGCGGTCTAATGATGAGGGAGACGTATGTGGTTCTTACTTGTTATAAAGCACAACATCCGGGACCCATAGCTCATTAGGTGATATGTGCAGTGTATGTAGACCGTCATATTTGGTTTCATTCCAGCTCAAGTAAGGATTCTTCCACACCTGTGATGAAAACATACATGTTAAGATTCAGATATTTGTCCTTAGCCACACGCAAAACTGGCAGATCCTTNGAAAGTAAGAAAAGGAGAAGATGTTGGGAGAATCAGAGAAACGATGATGAAGTAGACTGTGAACAGTCTCTTCTTTTTCTTTGGATCAAGAGCAACACGAGTCGCTGGCTGCGAAGCCGCAAGGAACGAGTTGGGTGGAAAATCGACCGAAGCCCAACCTCTCCTCTCCCCTCATTTTCACCATTAATTTGCATAATTTTACTTTCTCGTTCTCCGTGCGTGGCTGAGGAAAGAAGGGCGACCGCTGGCGGTCTAATGATGAGGGAGACGTATGTGGTTCTTACTTGTTATAAAGCACAACATCCGGGACCCATAGCTCATTAGGTGATATGTGCAGTGTATGTAGACCGTCATATTTGGTTTCATTCCAGCTCAAGTAAGGATTCTTCCACACCTGTGATGAAAACATACATGTTAAGATTCAGATATTTGTCCTTAGCCACACGCAAAACTGGCAGATCCTTCATCTCTTGCCAGATATTAGCGCTAGTTTAAACGCTAAAGAGATCCAACATGAGGTTTATGAACAGTTGAACCTCTACTTGGTTGTGATTGATCATGTTGGATCTCTATAGAATATGAGCTCGTTCAGATGGGCCAATTAAAATCCTGAACTGATGAATAGCATTGTCACGGGACAAAAAATGAATTATTAATCCACCAATGAAAGTTAGGAGACCACAGTCAACTTGGAATAAGCTTTTTGTTAAAAAAGAATTTAAGTAAATCGACATTGCAGACTTAAGCTTTAAAGTTCTTGGGCTTTCCACAGACTAAATTCAACCCGATACTTGTCAGCTTAAGAGACCTACAAGCGCGCAGAGGGGGCCGGGATGAGAGGCGTCTGCAGTTAAAGTGACATGGATACATAAAAACATCGATCGAGCATACCTGAATGATCCACGTATCTGCAATGAGAACCTGTGCTTTAGTGTCCTGGTAAAAAGCAAAGTCGGGCTTTAAGAGGACAATTTATTAATTGAGAATTCTAGTAGACGCGTTTACAGTACAGTGGCGCGTCTCTCCACCGAAAGGGTAGCAGCGGAGAGAATATGTCTTCGTTCGCAAGCCCATGTAAGTTTTGACACCGACTACAACCACCATGATAATGGCGAGGCTGAGAAAAGTATCTTTTATATACCAGTAAAGACAAATACTTTGACCGAGAGACCTTGACAAACTGTGATATTTTGCCAACCGTGTTTAATCTAGTTGTTTTATCATCCAATCGGTATGCATGTTTTTAACACGACACTTTTCTAGAATCCGTTGTTTCAGAACTCCTTTGGGGACTCGGACCAAACTGCGCACGAAAATAACAGCGTTATTTCTGCTTAATGGTGACGTGATGATCTCTAGCTTGCATAACAAGCGCTTTACGAGGAGAATAGCTTTACGAGGCGAACGCGGCATTTTGCGCGAAGCGCGAGACGCAAGCTGCCCCGTTCCCCTCGCTTGGCTCGTAAAGCGCCTGTTATCCAGGCTAAATGATCTCTGGGCCAATAGAAAACTTAAGAATTGAAGAAAAAAAACAGGTATTAGCCTTGACTTACCAGGGAAACTACTCTTGACATTCTGTAAGAGAAGGAGACATTAACAGTTTCGTCAGGGTGGAGCACGGGTCGGACGTCATGGTGGTATTTGTCTAGGAGGTCGTGGCGTAATCTTTGCTCAGGGGTCCCGAGGGTAGCTGTGATGGTATCTGAGAAAAACAAGTTAATTAAGCAAAAAGTCTGTTAGTCTCCCACGGAGTTATTTCTTGTGACGTCATGTGTTGCTTGACGACAAAGAGATGCTGCGTCGGGACACTAATCAGTCTATATTGCTAATTTCGAAAAGGAATTTATTATTGAATACAGGCCAACCTCGTTCTCAGGGTTCTCTCCAACTCGTTCTCCGGAGCGAGAGATAGGAACCTGGGAACAATATTTTCGTTGAGCTCGTTTGAAATATGACGGCTGAAATGAAGATATCAAGTTGGGGCTTTTTCAGGATGGCTGCTGCAGTCAAAAACAGGTACTGTTACTGCATGCATCGAGCACATCATCTAAATAAAACCTTAGCCAAGTTATTTAAAAATCAAATTAGGATTCAAAATTCGTGCTTGAGGACCACTTGAAGCATATCTCAGATATCTCCTCATAAATTCTTCCAGCCTGTGAAAAGACGTCCTCTCCGCTAAACAAAAAAATCGACCGGATAGGGACGTCTGTGAATCGCCATCTTTAATCGTGTTTCGGTATAAATTTCCATAAATTGTTTGTTTTTGTTTTTCTCTCTCCCAGATTTTTTCTGAGGGGAGGGGGGCGTCCGTACACAGGCTAAAATTCTTCTTTTCATTTTCCCTTTCGTTTATTCCCTTCCGTTCCTTTCTCCATTTTGACATGGGAAGAATATTACCCACTTACTCTTCTTTAAGTTTCGAATTCCATCTATATAATCTGACGAAAATTTGTTGTTCGTGCTGTTTTCGCTGCTTTCCAAATCCGATTTTGCTGGTCGACAGTAGTAATAGGCTTTAGCGTCGACCCGTGGGTGGACAAGTTTTAATGCCCTAAATGTTAACACGTACACATTTGCATGCAGCATGACACAACCCTCGGGGGGGGCACTTGGGTATTTTTTGGGTGGGTATGTGCCGCCCGGGACTCCAAATTGGCACCACGTTTTAGAAAAAATTTCCCCTAAAATTGATACCCCGTTCTAGAATTCGCCCTAAAACTGATACCCCGTTCTAGAAATGGGCCAATTTTTTATACTCCGTTCTAGGGTGCAAAGAGTACAACAGTTTGCTCGTTAACGCATTGAACCGTATTTTTAAAAGCAATCTGTCCTTGAATAATTTCAAATGGCTGCTTACAAAACTGGAGCTTTCGTGCGTTCGAAATATTATACCCCGTTCTAGAAAACGCCTCTGAAATGGGTACCGCGTTCTAAA